TGCATAAAATCGGACAAAAATATATATAGGACATCACTGGACTTAAGTTAGTACGCTGTGCAAAGTTTTGTTTGATTCGGTCAAATATTGGGAGTTTGGTGCACCATTTATAAAATATCGGACTATATAGAAACTATACATGGGAGCTATAACTATATCTGATCCAATTTCACCGAAACTTAACACACTTTATCCAAGTCTCAATCCCATATTTCATGCCAATTTTCGTCTCAATTGGACAAAAATTGGGAGTTTGGTGCACCATTTACATAAAATCGAACGAAGCTATATATGGGAGCTATATCCATATCTAATCCGATTTCAGTGAAACTTAACACACTCTATTCTACTTTCTATTTCATACGTTATGCCAATTTATTTTCTAAATCGGACAAAAATTGGGAGTTTAGTGGACCATTTACCTAAAATAGGACCAAGCTCTATATATCGAAATCTGCGCCGACTTCAACAAAACTTCACAGACATCAATATCCAGTACACTGTGAAAAATGTTGTCTAAATCGGGCAAATATTGGTTGTTTGGTGCACAATTTAAATTAAATCCGACGAACCTACATATGGGGTTTGGTGCACCATTTCCCTAAAACAGGACGAATCTATATATGGGAGCTATATCTAAATATGGACCGATTTCCACAAAACTTCGTATACATCAATATGGACCTAATTCAGTACGCTGTACAAAATTGTGTTTCAATCGGACAAATATTGGGCGTTTGGTGCACCATTTTCATTAAATCGGGCAAAAATATATATGGGAGCTATATCTAAATCAATTCGACTCATATGGAATTACAATCAATTTAGTTGAAAACTTAATCTCAAACGTACCGATATTTTGGAGCTGCCGTTATGCACGGGTTATACGTGGACCGATAATGATATACCTAGACCGATAGTGATCTTTAAATTAGGTGTATCGATATATGGTGGTTAATCAAAATAGTGAACCAATGAGAACTCAAAATAATACATAGTAGGAAATTCGTTTAAAAAACATGTCCAGTATTCCCAAAATACGTATATGAAGTTTATACCAAAACTTGGGCTGATATATTCCACTTTCAATACCACATATAAAGTATCCGTCCCATTTCAAATGACTCCCAAACACATTTTTATCTGTAGAATATTTTTATCTAGAGTGCGAGAAAAGAAAATCATTTATGGTGCATATCAAAACTGACTTCAAATTATGTGAAGTGAATTCTGTCTATAGGTACTTGGGGTATTGGGTAGCTTTTTGAGGGTTGTATCCATCCAAACCCTCTTTTAGAAGGGCATATTTGGGAAGAATATTCTGACAGATTTTTTTGTAGATTTCCTAGAGGCGGGAGTCAAGAAAATACGAGTTTAAAGATGGTAGTCTATATAAAAATGTATTTAAACTAGTATATAAACATGACCGAATGTCCTTCAATTGAAAATACAATTTTTTTTTTTGCTTTTTCTCAAATCTGGATATGTATCGCTACATTAATAAAACCTACAACATGTATCTATGACGTTAGAAACCATTTTTATAGCAACATGTCTCACAATATATAACAAACATGCTGCTAGGAAACTAATATAAGCAACATATCCTTGGGAAACAAATAAATGCATCTTCAACAATGAAACATTAGTAACATAAAGATTTCATAAATTTAACAATTTCTATAGTGTTTGGCCACCAAAATAACTTTCAGTTCCCAAAAATATACCCCCTGCGCCCAACCAATTGTTCTTTGGTTAATTTTCAACCATTAACCGATAATCAGCAGAAAACCTCAATTCCTTACCTCACACGTTCTTGCCTCTCGCATTTATGTATGTAAATGCCACATTGCATGACGTTATTCATTAGCTTTCTGGTTCCGTTTCAGTTTCAATACTTGGAAATTTTTGCTGAAAAACAAAAACACACACACAAACACTATAATTAATTATTTGTGTTGGTCAAGAATTTATACAAGAGGAAACAAATCACTTCGCACACTCACACACACACACGAAATTACACCGAGATTTATATACAAATCAGAAACCCCTTTTTCGTTTGTGTATGACTTAATTGTTTTGATTGTAAGTGAAACCGTTGCCGTTCCTCTTGGGTCACAAAGGATTGTTGTTACGCTAATTACTTAACAAACCTTACCCGCCAGTCCTTTATCCACAAAAAAATCTTTGCTTACATACTAATTAAAAAGATTTAACGCAACTTGACCACTGAGCTTTACATTATCGAATGAAGAAGGGATGTAGATTACTGTATGTGTGTGTGGGTTGGATGGGTAATTTGTTTATCATCTCAGGGTGCGGAGGAGGGGTTGTGAAAGCTTATATATTTATTTTGTAAAAAAAATGCCAGCTTTAATATGTTGTGGTAGAGGAGGTTTTATATAATTTCCGTAGGGTCGTAATGCATATGTTTGCCCTGCAGGATTACATTTGTTAATTCCAGGGTGAAAAATGAATCATAATCATTGTTGGCAAATTACACATACAAAGTAATTTGTGTCCGGCTTCGAAAAAACAACGTTACAGGGCCTCTATTGGGAAAATTTAAATTCATAATGTAAATAAACGCCTGATGTAGGTCCCTAAAAAAATTATTTAAAAATCTAAGCCTTGTGGTTGGTCCTTGAAAACGTTTATTTTAGCCAGTGAGGAAGGTAGTAAAGTCGGAAGGGGCCGACTTTATGATATCCTTCATCACTTTGGGTATATTCAACAGATGAATCCTAACAGACTTCGCATTTTTAAAGGACCAGCAAAATGAAATTGGATCCATAAACATGTCATTCTGCAACCTATACTAATTTTTTAATTTGGTCAAATAAAGAAGCTATATCTTAATCTGAACCGATTTCAACGATTTCAGGAAATTTAAAACACATCTTTCTAGACCTAATTCATTACGCTGTGCCAAATTTCGTGCACACCGAAAACTATTACGGGACATTGGTCCACTTTACCTTACCATATACCTTACATTGGACGACAATATATGTGGGAGCTATATCTAAATCAGAACCTATTTTCAGGAAACTTAAAACACACCATTCTAGACCTAATTCATTACGCTGTGCCAAATTTCGTGCAAATTTCACAGGACGAATACATATGTGGGAGCTATATCTAAATCTGAACCGATTTTCAGGAAACTTAACACACATTATTCTAGACCTAATGACATATAGGGACATTTACATAAAATCGGACGAAAATATGGGAGCCATATCTAAATCTGAACCGATTTTCACGAAACTTAGCACACATCATTCTAGGCCTCATTCATTACGCTGTGCAAATTACGTGCTAATCGAAGGATATATAGGGACTTTGGTGAACCATTTACCTTAAATCGGACGAAGATATATATGGGAGCTATATCTAAATCTAAACCGATTTTGACGAAACTATGCACACATCATTCTAGACTCAGTTCAGTACGCTATGCCAAATTTCGAGTAAATCAAATTATATATATGGTCTTTGGTGCACAATTTACATTAAATCGACCGAAAATATGTATGGCAGCTATATCTAAATCTGAACCGATTTTCATGAAACTTTGCACACATCATTCTAGGCTCAATTCAGTATGCTCTGCCAAATTTCGGGCAAATCTATAGATTTATAGGAACTTTAGTAGACTAGTTAGCTAAAATCGGGCAAAACTATATATGGGAGCCATATCTAAATCTGAACCGATTTTCACGAACTTAACGCACGCCATTCTAGACTTAATTCAGTACGCTATGCAAATGGAAAGGGACTTTGGTGCATTTCCAGGGACTTTCGGGCGAAAATATATATGGGACCTATATCTAAATCTAAACCGATTTCCTCGAAACTTAGCACACATCATTCTAGGCTATATTCATTACACTGTGCCAAATTTCGTTCAAAAAGAAAGATATATAGGGACTTTGGTGCACCATTTACCTAAAATCTGACGAAAATATATATGGGACCTATATCTAAATCTGAACCGATTTTCACGAAATCTAACACACATCATTCTAGACTCAATTCAGTACGCTATGCGAATTTTCGTGCAAATCGAAAGATATATAGGGACTTTGGTACACCATTTACATTAAATCGGACGAAACTATATACGGAAGCTATATCTACATCTGATCCGATTTTCTTCAATTTCAATTGGGTTTGTCCTTGGGTCAAATAAGTTAGCTGTGCCAAGTTTCATCCAAATCGGATTATAAATGCGACCTGTATTTTGTTTTCAATTCAACATCTACAGACGGACACTGTACCACAGTGTGGTGAAGGATATAAAAATCCACGCCTTATGTAGGTCCCTAAAAGAATTATTTTAAAAATCTACGACGAGGGTCTATATTTCGTGTTTAGTTTATAAAAAAAAATCGTTCAATTTTGTTTCTAGTGATGGTGTAGAGCTGTTATATTGTCCACGTTTGCTATTGAAATATGAAATTAAAATTTAATTTCAAAAGTTTCTATTTTCAATATAAATTAAATGAGTCGGTAAAAATGGAAAGTATTTTAAAATGTTATTATCAAGATCGAATTATGTACACGAAGCCAGCTTAATATACATTAAATACTAATACATAAAATATTTTAAAACAATTCGTTACTGGTAGTTTATTAAATGGTTCCAAATTATTAATTATGATTCGCAATTAAACAAAACTTAAATACCATATGAAAATCAAATATACCGCTAATATATCTAAAAATCGTTTACAATTTGCTTTTCATTTAAAAAATATTACAATAATTAAATATCAATTTAAAAAAACATTTAATTTTTTTTTAAATTAATTTAAATAATTTTAATATTATTTCAAACCTTCTTCGGCGGTATTTCAATGTGAAACCTTAACAGAAAATGTTGTATAAATATATATTCGCTATTATCGTTTTGGGATGGCCACTATATATACAGGTAAATATTTACATTTCAAAATATAAAATTTCCATTTTTTCCATAATTTTTTCTATAGTCCCTCCAACGCCGATTCGAATTGAAAGTCCAGAATTTTCAATGCAAAAATTACTCGTCACTGTTACGCCATTTAAATTGTGATTTAACGAAAATCTCCACCGGCCGTTATTATATCGATTTTGAATTTGAATTGCAACGAAATCTGGATAAAGATGCCCGGGTGCATATCACATCGTTCTTCACACCACAAAATGCTAAAAAGGCCGTGAAATTCCTGGATTTGAATTTAAAGATTTGTGATGTCCTAAAAGATACAAATTCCTTGTCGATTATGAAAACGATTTTGGCGGAATTAAGGAAAACGAGTAATTTACCCTATTCATGTCCTATCAAAGCGGTAAGATGACTGCTGTTATACAAATTTAATAAATCTTTAAAAATGTTTTTTTTTTAGAATTTCAAATACAATTTCATCAACTTCACTTTGGATGCCGACACACTGCCCCCCTACACCCCGTTGATGTCTTATAATTTCACCGTCAAATATTATGAAAATAAAAAATTACTTCTCACCATGGATGTTGATGGGTCAACGGTGTCACGTTCGGAATCGAATTGATTTTTTTTTTTTTTGAATCGTATTAATAAAATTTTCAAATCCTTACGTCGACCAGCAAGCGGGATTGAAATTACAAAAAAAACTATTTTTCTGATCACTTCGTAAAGCGGGGAGTTTAAAAATATTTTCATGAACCTTCAATAGGGGTGGATTTTTTAAAGAATATTTTTACAGACTCACAATAGGCATGGAAAAATTAAGGACCTAAATAAGGCTTGGATTTTTCAAAAAAAAAACCAGTAAGGAAAGTAGTAAAGTCGGACGGGGCCGACTATATGATACCCTTCACCACTTTGAGTATATTCAACAGATGAATCCTAACAGAAGTCGCATTTTTAAAGGACCAGTAAAATGAAATTGGAAACAAAAACACGTCATTCTGCAACCGATACTAAATTGTTCATTTGGTCAGATATAGAAGCTATATCTAAATCTGAACCGATTTCAGGAAACTTAACACACATTATTCTAGACCTAATTTGTTACGCTGTGCCAAATTTCGTGCAAATCGAAAGATATATAGGGACTTTGGTGAACCATTTACATTAAATCTGACGAAAGTATATGTGGGAGCTATATATAAATCTGAACCGATTTTCAGGCAACTTTACACACATCATTCTAGACCTAATTTGCTACGCGGTGCCAAATTTCGTGCTTAAATCGACTCAAAAAGTGATTCTATGCATATTCTCAAAAGGAGCCATGGGTCTATCTCGATTATTTTTGCATGTTACAAACATATGCACAAAAACATAATACCCTGTACCAGAATAAAGAATTTGGTTCAATAACCTCAAAACCTGGGGGCTACCAGAAAAAATTGACCAATATTTATAATTTATAGTGGAGAGATGTGCTACCTAATAAGAACTCGACATACCAAAATATCAGAACCCCCAAAATACCAAAAATTTTGGGGTACCGTTATATGGGTACTACCAGAAAAACTGGACCTATATTTATAATTTTTAGTGGAGTAATTTGGTACCCAATAAGAACCCAATGTACAAAATTTCAGCGAATTCAGTTATAAAACGAGCCCAAAAACCCGAAAATACCGAAAATTGGGGGTGCCCTTATATGGGGGCTTTCCGAAAAAATGGACCTTTATTTATAATGTTTGGTAGGGGGATTTGCTACCCAATAAGAACTCAAAGTACCAAATTTCAGCGAATTCGGTCGGAAAATGCGATCAAAACCCCCAAAATACCGAAAATTGGGGGTAATCTTATATGGGGGCTATCCGAAAAAATGGACCTTTATTTATAATTTTTGATAGAGAGATTTGCTACCCAATAAGAACTCAAAGTACCAAATTTCAGCGAATTCAGTTAAAAAACGCGCTCAAGAACCTCAAAATACCGAAAATTTTGGGGTACCCTTATATGGGGGCTATGCGAAAAAATGGACCGTTATTTATAATTTTTGGTAGGGAGATTTGCTACCCAATAAGAACACAAAGTACCAAATTTCAGCGAATTCGGTCGGAAAATGCGATCAAAACCCCCAAAATACCGAAAATTGGGGGTAATCTTATATGGGGACTATCCGAAAAAATGGACCTTTATTTATAATTTTTGATAGAGAGATTTGCTACCCAATAAGAACTCAAAGTACCAAATTTCAGCGAATTCAGTTAAAAAACGCGCTCAAGAACCTCAAAATACCGAAAATTTTGGGGTACCCTTATATGGGAGCTATGCCTAAACGTGGACCGATTTTTTCCAATTTCAATAGGGTTCGTCCTTGGGCCAATTAAGTGACCTGTGCCAAATTTCATCCAAATCGGATCATGAATGCGACCTGTACTTTGTTAACAAAAATACATGGACGGACAGACGGAAAGACAGACGGACATGCATAAATCGACTCAGAAAGTGATTCTATGCATATTCTCAAAAGGAACCATGGGTCTATCTCGATTATTTTTGCCTGTTACAAACATATGCATAAAGACATAATACCCTGTACCACAGTGTGGTGAAGGGTATAAAAAAACAAAAAACAAAACAAAACATTTTTAAAGGACCTGAGTAAGGCGTGCATTTTTCAACAATATTTTTTAAGGACCTGTATAAGGCGCGGATTTTATTATTTTTTGGTAAAGCCTTGAATGCGAAAATTTACAAATATATATATTTTTAATGTTTTACAAAAGGCGAGGATTTTTATATCACTGCACTGTGGAACAGGGTATTATTTCTTTGTGCATATGTTTGTAACAGGCAAAAGGAAACAAGATAGACACATGGTTCCTTTTGAGAATATGCATAGAATCACTTTCTGAGTCGATTTGGGCATGTCCTTCTGTTCCTCTGTTGGCGTTAAATTGTAAACAAAGTACAGGTCGCATTTATGATCCGAATTGGATGAAGTTTGGCACAGGTCACTTATTTGGCCCAGGGATGAAGCCTATTGAAATTGGGAAAAATCGGTTGAGATTTAGATATAACTCCCATGTATATTTCGTCCGATTTAAAGTAAATGGTGTACCAAAGTCCCTATATATATTTCGATTTGCACGAAATTTGGCACACCGTACTGAATTAGGTCTCGAATGATGTGTCTTAAGTTTCGTGAAAATCGGTTCAGATTTAGATATAGCTCCCGCATATAGTTCCGTCTCATTTAAGGCAAATGAGGCACCAAAGTCCCTATATATCTTCCGATATGCACTTAATTTGGCATAGAGTACTGAATTTGGCCCAAAATTATATATGCTAAGTTTCGTAAAAATCGGTTCAGATTTAGATATAGCTCCCATATACAGATTTGTCCGATTTTATGTAAATGGAGCACAAAAGTCCTTATATATCTTCCGATTTGCACGAAATTTGGTATATCGAACTGAATTAAGCCCAGAATGATGTGTGTTAAGTTTCGTGAAAATCGTTTCAGATTTAGATATAGCTCCCATGTATATTTTCGTCCGATTTTATGTAAATGGTGTACCAAAGTCCCTATATATATTTCGATTTGCACGAAATTTGGCATAGCGTAATGAATTAGAAATAGAATGATGTGTGCCAAGTTTCCTGAAAATCGGTTCAGATTTAGACATAGCTCTCATATATATTTTCGTCCGATTTAAGGTAAGTGGTGTACCAAAGTCCCTATATATCATTCGATTTGCATGAAATTTGGTACAGAGTACTGAATTAAGTCCAGAATGATGTGTGCCAAGTTTCGAGAAAATCGGTTCAGATTTAGATATAGCTCCCATACATATTTTCGTCCGATTTAAAGTAAATGGTGTACCAAAGTCCCTAAATATCTTTCGATTTGCACGAAATTTGGCACAGCGTACTGAATTAGGTCTAGAATGATGTGTGTTAAGTTTCGTGAAAATCGGTTCAGATTTAGATATAGCTCCCATGTATATTTTCGTCCGATTTAAAGTAAATGGTGTACCAAAGTCTCTATAGATCTTTCGATTTGCCCGAAATTTGGCAAAGCGTAGTGAATTAGGTCTAGAATGATGTGTGTTAAGTTTCGTGAAAATCGGTTCAGATATAGATATAGCTCCCATACATATTTTCGTCCGATTTAAAGTAAATGGTGTACCAAAGTCCCTAAATATCTTTCGATTTGCACGAAATTTAGCGCAGCGTACGGAATTAAGTCTAGAGTAATGTGTGGTAAGTTTCTTGAAAATCGGTCCAGATTTAGATATAGCTCCCATATATATTTTCGACCGATTGAATTAAGTCCAGAATGATGTGTGTTAAGTTTCGTGAAAATCGGTTCAGATATAGGTAGAGCTCCTATATATAGATTTGTTCGATTTTATGTAGATGCTGCACCAAACTTCCAATATTTTTCAGATTGAGACAAAATTTTGCATAGCGTACTGAATTAGGTCATGACTGATGTATGCGAAATTTTGTTAAAATCGGTTCGGATTTAGATATACCTCCCATATATAGTTTCATCCGATTTTAGGTAAATGATGCACCAAACTTTCTATGTTAAAATAGGTCCACATTAATATATACGAACTTTTGTGAACATCGGTTTAGAGTTGGATCTAGCTCCCCTATATCGATTTGTTGGTAAATGGTGCACCAAAATCCCATGGATTGGCCGATTAATTAATACAAAATTAGGCACAGCGTATTGCGATAGATCCATATTATGGCATACGACGATTTGAGAGAATCGGTTTAGATTTATATAGAGCTCCCATATATAGTTTCGTCTTATCTTATCCACAAAAAATTATGAATATAGGTCCATTTTTTCTGGTGGCCCCCCATGTAAGGGTACCTCCCATTTTTCGGTATTTTGGGGTTCTTGAGCGCGTTTTTCAAACGAATTTGCTGAAATTTGGTACATTGGGTTCTTATTGGGCACCGAATATCTCCACTAAAAATTATAAATATAAGTCAATTTTTTTTCTGGTAGCTCCCATATAAGGGTACCCCCAAATTTCGGTATTTTGGGTTTCTTGAGCGCGTTTTTCAACCAAATTCGCTGAAATTTGGTATTTTGTAGCCGTATATGGAAACAAATCTCCCCACCAAAAATTATTAATAGTCAACCCCTTTTAGGCGTAGTCCCCATGTAACCACATTTTATATTGATATAATTATCTGATTTTCCGCGTTTTTGGTTTGGTTCTAACACTCTGTTGTAATCATTTACCTGCGAAAGATATCGAGATAAAAAACTAGAACGTACGGTTCGATAATGAACTATATGTGAACTACAGCCCGCATTTAGGCTTAGCCGTAGCCCCTGTGTGGGAGGTGCCAGATGGCATGGACCGATATTCCCCAAATTCGGACTTGAACTAAGTTTGGAAGACATAATAAGATGGGATGAATTCAAATTCTTCTGAAACGGATTTGGTCCGAAGAAACATGGGATCTAGAACCAATATGTCGATGAGGCACGTTTTCACCGTGTGAAAGTGTATGCACACTAATTAGCCATAAGGCTGAGGGTATAATTTTTGGAAATAATAACCTAAATAATCATTAGTTATTATATTTTTT